GTATCGAGTTTACTGCTGAAGCTCCAGCCCTTTCGCGTTGTTAAATATTCACTTCCTTTTTATTGTATCTGATTGACAGATAAAAGACCTAAAAAAGGGTGTGAGGAAATTTGCATATGTCTAGTATTAGCGGAATTATTGCATTTCAGACTAAAAAGTCGAATCTCGAGCGTGATTTACGCAAAGAAACTGACATAAAATGAGTTACAAAGGGAAATCGGAAAATTCCTCACAGTCTTCCTTTACAGTCTTTTTTCTTTCAACAACCAAGCTATTTCTTGTATGACGTCCACGCTAAGACAGCTCCAAAAGTCCCCTCAATAAGTTTGCGAAACTCAGCACAAAACATCACTTTAAAACGCGATTATCTGCCAAGGAGTGTTTCTCTATTTCTCTACAACCTAGAAAATGAACCATTGTAATTTTAGTCTATTTTTTCTAATAACAAAACCCCTATGCTTGAGTTTTGTGTGGGGTTTTTCTTTTTGCTTTTCCTTTTTCTTAATATGTCATTTAATAACGCCTTTATTTATAATGTTTGTTCTGCCTAGATTAGCACTATGGCTACTTGCAGGGCATAAAATATTGTAAGCTTATGGATCTTAAATAAAATACATTGTTGTTGGTGATCATGAAAAAAAGGTACCGTTTATTGTAACGGTAAACTCGTAGAAAGTGAAAAATTTCTGTGTAACGGGGGGCACCCAACGAGAATATAGTTCAAAACCACTTAAACATAGCATTGTTAAACGTGTTTTAGTATTTAAACGGTGGATATAGGCATATTTTTATCCCCTATAAATTTTCCATCTGTTCGGATTTCCTAGCTGAAAGTCTAGTGATCCGAAAATTTTAGGGATCAAAACTTACCTGTTTAAAAATTTCAGCCAGAAAAAAGCCTCCCGAAAATTCTAGGTGACCTTTTTAGGGTAAAAATCCGTTGAAAATGGGCAATTTTACCATTTTTTAGATGTTCGAAAATCCTAAGAGGCAGGCAAGCAAGAAATTTTACAACAAATGTTCCGAAAATTCTAGACCTCAAATCGTCTTCCGAACAGATATTTTTCCGAAAATTGTCGTTGGGTGCCCCTCGTGTAACTCGATGTAAAAGCAGTCTAGAAGTGTTGAGACTACCAAGAATGTCTTCATCGCTTGAAAAATTTAAAAAGGGTATTTTCCGCGATGTTTACATTCTGCGGGTTCCCCACCCCGTCATACCCCCTCTTGAGCCAATCAAAGAGCGCTTTCTGCGACATGTACCGCGGACCAAATATCGCTGTCACTACAATATGGCTGCTAGCTTCCTGGTAATTTCTACTCTTTCAATTATTGAAATCATGCTCCTGGAACGAAATGTAGACTCATTCACAGATTTGAATCAAGCCTTCTTTTGTGCGAGGAAGTTTTTGAACTGAATGAATGGAATCGGAACCGGAATTGATGCAATTCCCAATGGTAAGAGCTGTAAATTTCCGCTTCACGGAGCGTTATCAAATGGCACTACATTGTATCACTTTAATAAGACGGTTATTGGCAGCTCGAGATCTAACTACCTTTACAATCATTGCTAGCTTTTACACTGTCGAATTAATATTATACAGGAACATGTGCAGCCATTTTGAAACCGGTATTTTGTTCGTAGGGACCAGGTAATGAAATTGACGCCCGTAAATTAATCCTTCCGGAATGATTTTCAAGCGGTATTCAGTCTGGAAGGGGTGAATACCACCCAGAAATAACCCTGACTATGACCTGAAACTAAAACTTTGATCTATGCGGGTTTTTACGTGCATAAAACTTGTCCAACGCTGACCGCCAACATTATAGTTTCTCAGCCATGATTTCAAACGGGGAAAGATTTTATGGACCCCCGAAGATAAACCAACACAATGTTAACGTAAAACTTTGAGTGGAATTTATTACCTCATTTTCAGTATCTGACACTTGTTAACAGTGGTAAGGTAGGTGGAAGAAAATGAAATTTCCACAGAACAGCTGCTTTGTGCGAATCTCATAGATCATCTTAAGAACAATACAAGTATCTGCTAAATAATGCAGCTCTGTGGCTTGTCAAAGGTGTATGTCTCTTGTAATAAACAAGAGACGCATATCGGAAGAACCTACATCGCCCAAAACTCCACTTTGAATTATTTATTTTCTGATGAATTTGTAACTAGTCAACTTTCTATTTCACTGGGCCAAGTAAGATCACTCTAGTACTGTGACCAAAACAAAAGGCTTCTTATGATGCATAGTAGATTAATGTACATACAGCAATCAAATTATTTTCTCAGAGTAAATGTGAGCCTTGCAGGTAAATGCACGTCAACTAAGCCACTGGAGAAAAGAGAAAACCCCCCAAACCCTAGCCTTGAACATCAGGATTTAAAACAACTTAAGGTGAGTGTGCTTATCATTTAGCTGCCCGGACCACATTCCTCAGGTGCATTTTGTGCAGTACAATTTGCAAACTTTGTTCCAAGTGCAAAACAACTCAAAA